TACATACATACATACATACATACATACATACATATACATACAAATACATATATACACACCATACTGTTTATAGAGCACTTAAAACAGCGACAAGGCCAACCAAAGTGCTGTACAAACAGAAAACAGGCAACGCACACAAAGCAACATACAAAATGTAATAAAATCAAAATATAGACACAAAAACGTTGCAAACAATAAATATAATGACTAACCTGTGTGAAGCATACAGGTTCAAACACAGATCATCTGGTGTTGAAAGCTACGAAATAGTAGTACATTTTTAAATTTGAAAACCGAGATGGAGGGGACCTGTCTGACAAGCAGCGGTAACTCGTTCCAAAGTCTTGGGCCTGCGACAGAGAAGGCCCTGTCACCCCTGCGCTTAAGACGAGTTCCTGGAACTGTGAGAAGTAACTGGTCCGCTGACTTCAGAGAACATGATGGGACATACGGCTGTAGCAAATCGGAGAGATAGGGGAGCGGAACTGTTCAGTGATTTGTAGACATACAAGAGTATTTTGAACTGGATTCGAAGGTGAACCAGTAGCCAGTGCAGGGGGGCCAAAACTGGTGTAATGTGCTCTCTCTCTCTTTACAGCGCCTTGCGAAAGTATTCGGCCCCCTTGAACTTTTCAACCTTTTGCCACATTTCAGGCTTCAAACATAAAGATATAAAATTTAAATTTTTGTGAAGAATCAACAACAAGTGGGACACAATCGTGAAGTGGAATGAAATTTATTGGATGTGTCAAACTTTCTTAACAAATAAAAAACTGAAAAGTGGGGCGTGCAATATTATTCGTCCCCCTTGCGTTAATACTTTGTAGCGCCGCCTTTTGCTGCAGTTCCATCTGCAAGTCTCTTGGGGTATGTCTCTATCAGTTTTGCACATGGAGAGACTGAAATTCTTCCCCATTCTTTCTTGCAAAACAGCTCGAGCTCAGTGAGGTTGGATGGAGAGCGTTTGTGAACAGCAGTCTTCAGCTCTTTCCACAGATTCTCGATTGGATTCAGGTCTGGACTTTGACTTGGCCGTTCCAACACCTGGATATGTTTATTTGTGAACCATTCCATTGTAGATTTGGCTTTATGTTTTGGATCATTGTCTTGTTGGAAGATAAATCTCCGTCCCAGTCTCAGGTCTCTTGCAGACTCAAACAGGTTTTCTTCCAGAATGGTCCTGTATTTGGCCCCATCCATCTTTCCATCAATTCTGACCATCTTCCCTGTCCCTGCTGACGAAAAGCAGGCCCAAACCATGATGCTGCCACCCTGGGATGTTTAAAGCTTGGGAAATCTTTATGTATCCAAATCCGGCTTTAAACTTCTCCACAACAGTATCTCGGACCTGCCTGGTATGTTCCTTGGTCTTCATGATGCTCTCTGCACTTTGAACAGAACCCTGAGACTATCACAGAGCAGGTGCATTTATACGGAGACTTGATTACACAGGTGGATTCTATTTATCATCATCAGTCATTTGGGACAACATTGGATCATTCATAGATCCTCACTGAACTTCTGGAGTGAGTTTGCTGCACTGAAAGTAAAGGGGCTGAATAATATTGCACGCACCACTTTTCAGTTTTTTATTTGTTAAAAAAGTTTGACACATCCAATAAATTTCCTTCCACTTCACGATTGTGTTCCACTTGTTGTTGGTTCTTCACAAAAATTTTTAATTTTATATCTTTATGTTTGAAGCCTGAAATGTGGCAAAAGGTTGAAAAGTTCAAGGGGGACGAATACTTTCGCAAGGCACTGTGTGTATAAGGCTTTATAAACCCTTCCCACACTCTTGTGACATTCTTAAGAATGTTCTAAACTCTTAAACCTACGTAATTTTAACTATGTGCGATGAAGCTTCATGAAGCACTGAGGCTTTCCATTAAATAGCTCGACTCATGATCCGACGCGCCATGGTGTTTCATTTGCTCTACTGCGCTTTCAAGTGGACTATAAGCGTACAACAGGTAGATGGATTATAATATAACTGGTTTGCGAAGCTTTAAGTTGAATAAAATTTGTTCTGCAAATGATCTTAATCTGTCTTTATGATGATGGTGATGATGGATTTTTCTGTCTGCCCCTTATATTTTGAATCTCGCGCATACAAACGAGCCAGTTCCTGAATCGGTCAGGTGGTACGGCCGCCAGTGAGGCCTCAAACGTCACTACACGCGTCATCAATACACACCTGGATACACGCTCCACTTAAACCCTCCTGAATTACTCAACACACGCTTCGAAGCCTCGACACAGAAGGACGCATCACTAATTTTAACATACATAATACTGCTAAACTACATATGGGTACTCATCAGCTCCACAGTCCGCACACCAGCAGCTCAGTTCTGGTTAGGGTCGGTTCTAGTTTGGCAGACCTACCCTGCAGCGACAAAGCCCTTGATGTGCACATGGATAATTGAGCTTCAGGAAACTTAAGGATTATTTGCAACTTTCCTGCAGTTCTGTGATCTTAATAGATAAATTGTTACTTCTGACTTTGCGTTGCTAAACTTTCCCTCCATTCTGGCAGAAAGCAGTGGCAGGAAGCACTGTTGGCTTCTGGGTAGTGTAGTTCTTTTGACTGGCATTACAGTTGAGGCTTATTGAAAGAAAACTACAAAAGGGTGGCGCCTGTCCGAAGTAATTTTTTTTGTAAACTTTTTATCCCGTACTGTCCCAATCACATGAGTAACATTAAAGTTGACAAATGTGTCATGCACAATCTTACGTTGAAAAACCGCAAAAGAGCGAGTCCGCAAAAGTCGAACCCCGAAGTAGCGAGGGACTACTTTATCAGTATTCAAGTTTGGCATTCAGCTCGTGTTTTGGTTCTTTATGCGTGTTTTTCATAGACTTTTGTCTATATTTAAAAAAATTAATTGTTATATGGTTTAAAATGTAATTTTATTTAAAATTGAACCCACTGGTGGGCTGAACTGAGCTCATCCGTGGGCCTGATTTGGCCCCAGGACCACCAGTTGAACAGCCCTGCTCTAGACCATAACGCATTGCAAAGTACTGACTTTAAGTACGCACATTACTATCTGTAAAAAAGTCCATTTGCTGCCACCCTCTGACCCCTGGCCAGACAACCTTATTTGTATAATCTTTTGTTTTGTTGTTTTGTTTGTTTCCATAAATTTCACATATCACTGTTTGGATTTTCATAACTATCTCAGAAAGTAATCACTGGTTATTCATTTACAGCTGATTACTTTTATAATAAATCTGATTCAAAATTGCTGTCACAGCTAAATAACACAGGCAAACACAAAAACGGCTATACTGGAAGTCAGTCAAGTTTATAACTACTGAGCTAAAACTTTGTGCTGCGGTAGCCGAGTCGTCCCTCTGAGTGCTCAGATATTTGTTTAAAATTTTCTCATGCAAGGCCAAAAGAATTTAGCTTCAGTTCATATTTCTAATTGAAATATGAACCGAGAGGAGATAAGCATCGGGACTTGATTAGTGACTGTGCTGTTCTCAGTAATATCAACACGTTGAGCAGGTTAGTGAGAATTTATGTCGACAAAATCTTAATTTTCTGCCTTTTTCTTGTCATAAAAGTTAGGCCATTGCAACAAAGTTGAACCCATAATCAATTTAATGGCTGACTGGGTGCAACTCATCTTGTTTCACAAACAACAAAAATTGACCCTATTCCTCATTTGAATAATTTCTTCTGTGAACATTTTTCTATTTACCTCCTGGTTTTAAACTTTATTCTCAGGGATTTTTCAGAACAGCATGATATTCACTGTGTAAACTGTAGTTCTTATGAAGCAGTTGATTTAGTAACATTTTAATACTGTAGCTGATGTACAGTTGACCAACTGTGGACAGAAATGCACAAATGACTGAAAGTACAATAAATGGGTGTCCAGTGTTCTTAATACATCCATAATCAAGTAAACAACTAGTAAAAATAAAAAAAAGAGATGCGTTTTTCCAAGAATGCTTAGATGTATAACATCTATCTTCATACAGGTGCGTTATAGTTGTGTTTTCACTTCTTTAGCGGTGTCTGGTGAGACAAATCAAAAAACAAAATTAAGATTTCCTAAAATGATTTACCTGAAAACAAAAGGAACAGCATATATATGCAGCTCCTGTTTCAGATCACCATCAAAATAATTTCCTGTTCATCCATTAGTATTCGTGATTTCACCATCAACCTACATTGTGTCGTCTGTCCTCTTAACACCTTCACACACACATACACACACCTCCTCATTCTGCTTCGAGGCGGTCCAGCTCCTTCACTCCCACAGCTGTATAATTACCCTTTTTCTCTCAAAGGAAGTCTGGTTCTTTATGTAATTTAAGGTTTTAATGTTCTTAATCAAATATCATGCAAAACTGAGACTATTCTGATATGTTTTGCTATTTGAAAGTGCGATTTATTGTCCAGGCAAATAATAAACAGAAAAATACCTGTTAAAAAAACAACAACAGTTGAACATAGCATGCTTCTGTTGCACATCTGCCTGGAGAGCCAGATGAGCTGGCGCCTGTGGGCCTGTTAACCAATAAGGGGCCCATACAACCTGGAATTTATTGGAAAGTTTTGGATGATTTTAATGGCTGCTAATGATCTCTTGTCCATCCAGTTTAATTCCTTTAGAGGGGAGTCTGTGAACAGCATGAAGATGATGGAAGAAGCAGCGTTCGTGTAAGAAAACTCAAGTGAAGAAAAAAAAAACCTCAGATCCCGTTAAAGCTTGACCCACGCAGTTCATGTAACGACACTGAAAAGTTCAGCAGTCTTTTTTTTGCTTTCACCCAGTGCTAATTCACCTACATTTGTGGTGAGAGGCAGCTCAACAAGGCAGTCGAGGCCGACGAGGAACCCGTCTTCCTGCAGCCACAACATCCATCCTGCAGGAGCTCGATGACTCAGCTGTTCAGAGGCGCAGAGATGTGGGTGAGTTTCTCCTGTGCTCGGCTACCTACATGAAATTCATCCCCCACCACGTAAGACACGCAGAAACCCACTTTGCTCACGCTTGAAACTGTAAATTTGGAACAATAATAATAATAAAAAAAAATTTTGATGGCAAAATACACCAACTCAACACAAATAAGGGAGTTTTGCTCAGATTCTCTTATCCATGCATCCTTTGGACTCTTAAAAGCACGATTTATCAAAGCTGTGAGATGTGAAGAACCATCCATCGCTCTGATAAAACCTTCAATAAACTCACAAAACGATAGCTTCAAGTAAGCAACTGATGTTTGTTTATTGGCCTAGGATTGTCAGGACATAATGCAACGTCTCCAGTGCTTAACAATGTTCATTGTTACATTTATTTGTGACATGTGCAGCACAGAGTATAAATGTGTATACGGAATAAAAGACGAGGAGTCGTACGAAAAAAAGGCAAATTTTTTACGAGGACATTTTGAAGGTTCTTTTCACACATTTATGTAGAGAGTTGAAAAATATGCCAGCTGACATTGACTGTAACAAAAAAAAAAAAAAAAAAAAGATGCTCAGATTTATCATGGATATCTTCTCACCCTGGCACTTTCACATTTAATTACCAAAGCGATTGTTTTCTCAGCTATAATACAATGCATACAAGAATTTTTACATTGAAACATCTGCCATGTTCAAATATCTGACCCAATTAACAAAATATGTACAATAACAATACCAAATTTTACCAACAGTAAAAGCATTTTTTATAATAGTCTCATCTCCTACTATGCTTTGATGGAGACTGACTTGTGTGCATTCATTGCACAAAGGTTTATATACACAGTGAAGAAAAATACAGACAACACATTTGTGCCAGAAACACATAGATCATCGGTAAAAGTCAATGAGGCTATGATTGATAAATTAGATACCTATTTCTTGTCAGATGCTCTTCTCTTTGTTGATTGGCTGGTGCAATGCTGCCACCTGCTGGCCTGATGAAGCGTTACAGCCTGTTGTTTTCAAAAGGGACAACTTGCTCTGGTCCTATTGCACAATTAATCTTCCAGCGATGGAGATGTATACATTTCAATTTGAAAAGTCTGTTATTTTTCATTCTCCCACACACAAACTGTTGGAAAAAAAAAAAAAAAAACAAGCTCAACCAACTGTACAGAGTCACGTTTTAAATAAATACGCTTCGTTAAGAAAGTGTTCATGAGCATATTCATATTTATAAAAACCGAAAACGTCTCATCCGCTCAAAAGGAACCACGTAATTCAGCACCGACACTTGGTGGCAACTTTGGCTCAAAACAAAACAAAACAAAACAAAACAAAACAAACAAAAAAAAACAAAACAAGAAAAAGAAAAAAAATCAAAATCAATCAAACACATACAAGTATTAAATATTTGTATTAAAATGAGCTTTCAAGTCCCAAACCCCCTTTTTTTTCCCAACAGGGTCCAGAAGCTACACATATATAGAGTTAATTTTCTAATGTGGATATTTTCTTTTTAAAAAACACAAACATTTTCTGTCATTTTAATAAATAGAAATAAAAAAACCACAGGGATATCATTTTAACCTTGGCGTCTGCCGTGTTAGTTCTGCTTCTACTTCTGTCATAATTTCCCTAAGTGGAACAGAACTTGGCAGACAATCGCCACCACTCCTGCGTTGAGCACCGAGGAAATGGAGATGTCTAATAATCTGCTTTCATACAGTACAAACTCTGTCTTGTTCTCTTCCACCTTAGCCATGGCCAGCAGACCTTTAGCTGCTCTGCACATCATGTTTACACTGGGTGGGTCCATGTGGGAGTGTCCCATGTGCAGCAAGCTGTGCGGGTTCTGCTGGTATTGTGCCACGCTCACGCCATCTTCCAAGAAGGCAACCAAATTACCCACGCTGCCTTTCTGCAAGGCGATGGCTCGTGCCGCTGTCGGGTCTCCCTGCGCCAGGTGGGAGAGGACGGCCACCGCCATCTCCCTGTACACCTGCACCTTCCTCTGACCCATGCAGCGCACCAAGATTGCAAAAAGTTTCTCTTGTCTGCTAAAAGGCGGAGTGGCCAGCAGCAGGTCTACGTTACCGTCCTGGATGCTGAGTTTGCAGAGGCACTCCAGAGCCAGCCTCTGGGGAGTGAGCTGGGAGTGTGGCGCTGCTGATGGGAAGGGGTCCTGGGCTTCAGCCGAAGGGCAAACCATCCAGTGGAGCAGGCCGTCCAGGATAGGAAGGCAAATAGTGTCCGAATAAGAAGAAAGATCCAGGTGACCTGCGATGTTGGCGAGTGTGACCATGGCGTTCTCCCTGAGCAAACTCAGACACTCCCACCACCACTCGTCTTTGCTACTCGACAGCTCCCGCTCCTGCTGCTCGTCTCTCTGAAAGCTCTGGGCCAGCCTGTTCCTCTCTGGGTGCACGTGCTTCAGCAGAAGCAGCCTGCCTAGAAGAAGAACCAGTGCGGGGTGGCGTGACATCTCCATGTCGTTCCCGGGGATAAAGGACAGACTCCGGACAATGTTGGAGACACAGAGGCATCGCTTGGACAGCGAGTCCTGCCAGGCGGAGGCTGTAGTGAGCGGAGCCTCGTCCAGGCAGTGGGGCTCGTCCTCCAGAAGGGTGATATGATCATCCTCCCCATCTGGATGCACCCTGAACGGGTAAGATGGCAGAGAGCGTGCAGGGTGGGCATGTGAGAGGGCGTCCACCCTGGCGCACAAAACATCATCAATAGTAGCTGTGATATGCTTCAGACGTTTCTGATTCTCCGCCTTGCTCTCTTGTTCGTCCTTGTGTTTCGTCTTTTTATTGTCCCTGCCGGGCGCTTCACTCCGCGGTTCAAAGTGCGTCTGAATGTGCGCGGTGGAGTCGCCTCCACCTGCCTGCCAGTGCAGCAGCCCGCTGGTAAACTCAGTGATGTAACCTAGACGCTCGGTCAGGTCTTCGATCAGATCATCTTTCTGCTCAATCTTTATGGGGAGCTTATCGTACTTGCTGGCTTGTTTGGGTTTAGTTTCCAAACCAGCAGGGGGCAGTTCCGAACACGGCTTCTTACTTTCACTTTCCCGCTCTTCTTCTGCTTTTTTGTTGTTCTTCTCGTCCATTTTCGCACCTACATCTAAATCGCCCTTTTTGCCGCACACCTCAGCTGGCTGTGCAGAGACGGGCGGAGCGTTCTCCTCTGTGCCTCCCGTCTGCTCCTCCCGAGTTTCTGCTACTGACGATGACTCGGGTCCAGTTAGGGAGGTAGAGTCTGTTTCCTGATTAGGGGTGGGGATATTCTGTTCCGTCTGAACAGAAGTCATATCTAAGTAGTTCTTATGAGCCACTGTCCCAACCTCAAATTCTTCCAAGATGCCAAAAATCTCGATCAGGCACCGGCGGAAGTACTCCACAATTAACTCGAGGAATCCAGGCAACTGGACAAAAAAATAAAAAATAAAAAAATCAATATCAGTATCAATAAGTCAACAAGAAAAAAGAAGACCAATTAAGGGTTAATAAATTAATTTGCTCTGTCGCTCATTAAAGGTACGATCAGGCTGGTTTTACCTGGGACAGGTTGAAGGAGGCCACGGTGCTGTCGTCGTACAGCAGGATGTTGATGGTGTCTAAAGCCCAGGTGCTCTCTGCCAGCAGGCCAGACTTTAGAGACATCATCACACGCCAGGCTTCAGGTGTTCCTGAGGTTCAATTATTAGGAACAAAACACATTTATCAGACTGTTTATATCAGACAGGGGGGGCGCTGAACGAAAATCTAATGACTTCACTGCACATTGAACCAGTTCTGTGCTCAGTTGACTCTTTTACAGGGAGTTTTCGTTTCACACATTCATACAACTCCTGCACAAATTCATTTTCACAAACACAGTAAGGGCTTTGTCTTACCACAGTCCTTAGAGTTGAGCTTACGCCGCGGCTTCAGAATCGGCAAGGTGGCTTCCACTGACCCTGGGGGGTAATTGAGGTCTCTCCTCAGGTTTGGAGGAAACTGACCAATGGGCCCACTGCTCTGTGAGCCCATCATAGGCAGCCCAGGCTTAGGCATCTTCATGGGTGACATGAATGGGGCTTTACTGGGGGACATTCGAGGGTCAATTGAGCGATGGAAGGGCCCTGGGCTGGGGGCTCGAGGCAGATGATTGGCCATGGATGGGGAGCTGGAATAAGACAATGGTTGGCGTGAAGACAGGGGGGGCATGCCACCTGATGATGACATGTAGGGAGACTGGCGATGCCACTGGTCCTGCCCTGCCCGACCGTCCATGTCGTCTCTGCAAATGGAGCCATACGGCGTCATTTGTGATGGCGGTCCTTGTCTGTTGTGGTAAGGATAGCCGAGGTCTGTTCTTGAAGGCCACATGTTAGGCCCGTCAGCAGCATGGTTAGGAGTGTGGCCCGCACCCATCATACTGTGCTGGCTCTGGCCCGATGGGGGCATACGGTCACGGTGGTAGGCGTAGGGAAATTGTCCCTGGATCGGTCTGTGCTCAGGGCCTGTGTAGCCACCACCATAGTGGTTGTACATGTCTGGCTGCTGGTTGGTGTACTGCATGGCGTAGATGTCACTCTCATGCCTCTTGGGTGGGGGGCCGTACATTCCATCCAGTTGTCGTTTGTAGCCCTGATGAAGCAAAGATGCTCTTAGCGGTGACATGTTCAATCAAAACACACCTCCAAAGGACGTGGATTCTTGTAATTTTTATAAAATACTATCATGTGTGTTCCAAATAGTAATATTTTATATAAACATTACCTTTCGAATGATATAACAACACTAGGCACAAGCTAACTTTATGTTCTGCTAAATTGTGGTGTCAGCATAAATGTTTTTTATTCTCATCAATTGCTACTTCTGAGTTCAGTAATATTTATCACAACAGAAGTGGTAACAAGAATAGTCAAAATATAAAAGATAAGGAATTATGCAGGTCTTTTATTTAATTAAATTATTTGTTTGTAATCTTTAACCTAATGCTGACGTTTTATTGTTTAAAAATCGTGACTTTTTAGCTAGAATGTGCTTTACTATGTTCCTTTAATATAACAGATTAATAATACTGAGTGCAAACTGTTGAGCTGTTACCTACCTGCTGCTGCGGATACATCCCAGATGGATGCATCCCGTATGGCATGCTGGAATACTGCTGGCCATAACCATCATGTCTGCAAAGCAAAGACACAAAGCAGAAAAAGATTAGCTATATTCATCTATCATATTGTAACCAGCAATATCCTTCAGTAATGTGTTGGATTTTATGCAAATACAAGCTCACTAACCTCTGCTGTGATGGGTACCTGCTTGGGGAGTACATGCTGCCTTCACTGTTGGAGTGTCCCATGTTATTTTGACTTCCTGGGGGGCCCATAGTCCCTTCCATCCCCATCATATGATCAGGTCTAAGGATTAAAGAGAACAATCATTTCTAACAAGCAGAACCATTAAAAATAAATAAACATATTATAATATTTAGTTTTAAATGTTGATGGCCACCAGGTGTCTTGTATGTGTACCTTCTGTCATAGCCTGGCCCGTATGGATACTGTGACCTTTGACTCATGCTTAGGCCCGACGGCGGCCGACCGTACATGTCCGGCATACCACCACTGGGAATCTGGCTCGGGATGTAAGGATCAGCTCCTGCCACTGCAGAAGAAGAAAGTAAATCAATGAAACAATCTCCAGTAATTTCATGTAAACGTAAATAAACAGAAAAATCAAATGGGGACTCAAAAGTGCAGTTTCTATATTAACCAGCAGATGGCAGCATAACTCTATGAATATTCTCCACTTATTATTTTCAGTCAAAGTGTTGTTATGCAGCTACCATCCTCCAGATTATTTATTCAGGCTCCATTCTCTTCAGCCTTCAGAGGAGCCGCCGCTTTTCCCCTGAAACTACTGTTTGTTCTGATAACTAAACCACATGACTCGGTCAAAACAGGTGCATCTCAGCAGGATGGGAAGGATGAAAAGAAAAAGGATGAGTGGAATAAGGATGCGACAAAGGCTAGACTACTAGAAGATTAGACGAGATAGCGTGTTTTTGATAAATGGATGTGTGGTGTAACAAACAGTTCTTATCTCCTGTTGGACTTTTAGTAATAAAACACATCTGTCCTGACCTGAGCCGACATGGTGACATGACAATAAATTAGACCAAAGGAGGCAGACGAAAGATAAATGGCTCCGGGACACAAGTGTCATTTAGAGAAAGATCTGTGTGAGTTTATATCAAGTTTAAGGAAGAAGCTTTAAATTAGAAGCTGGTTTCATCTAAACCCCGTGAAAATAATTAAAATTTATAATAAGATTATTCTCTTTTTGCTCGCAGACCAAAAACAAAGGAGTGTATTCACATGAAGCACAAAGAAAAAACATCTTTTTGGTGAGTGGGTTCCACAGCGTGTGCCTCACTCACTCTTCCTCATCCCTGCGAAGGGGTCCTTGGCGTCGTACTGCATCCTCATCATCATGTCAGGCATGCTGAGGCCCTGCTGGTAGGGAGCTGAGGGGGGCAGGCTGGTAGCCCGCTTCTGAAAGGCCGGGTCGCTCACCTCCGAGAAGGGGTCCTGCACGCTCACACTGCTCCTGGAAAAAGACGAAAACAGGGAATCATGGGAAAAGTGCACATCATACGGACAGAACAAAGAGAAAATAAGAGTCTGATGAGCTCGGAGGGCTCAAAACATTTAAATAAAACATTTTAAAGCAAGAATTTCATTATATAATTTATACATTTGAACATTTTTGACATAACCTGCAACATATTGACCTAATAGTGCAAGTTATTTACTCCTTGTGCTTTTTAAAAGTTCAACAATTACCCAGAATCTATTAATTATCGTCAAAATTGAAATATATTTACCCTAAAAATGAAACAATCCATAAAAGAATAATCCACAATTTAAACTCCCCAGTAGATTTTTAATTAAGTTATTGAAAGCTATTTTTTTTTCATATATTTTCACAAAATTATGCAAATCTTGTTTTTCTGTAAACTGTTCTCAATAGCTTCAAATTATCAGGAAAATGTGTGACGTAAAAAAAAAAAGAAAGAATCAAGTATAAGAATATCGGCACAATATTTAACTAAAGATGGTTGTATTTTCCCTTGAAGCTCTTTATCTTCAAGGACTCAAGGTTCTTTATTTGTCATGGTAAATTGTGGTGGAACAAAAGTGTGTACACAGGGTCCCAGTTACATCCAACAAAATTATTAAAATGTAAAATAAAAACATTAATAAGATCTAAGATATGAACTAAGAAATACATCAATAAAAATATACTAAGCACTAATAGCATAAAAAAGTTAAAACAATACGCCGAACAGCAGCACAAACATGAGTCTGTGTGAGCAGATGAGTACGAATGAACACAGCAACAAGAAACAGATCAGCAGCAACATGAAACAGATCAGCAGCAACATGATGTGATTTTCCACAGTGATTATTCTAGTTAGAGATTCATGAGTCTAACAGCCTCAGGGTAGAAGCTGTTCCTCAGTCTAGTGGTTCTACACTTAATGCTCTTTAACCTCCTTCCTGAGGGGAGCGGGGCAAAAAGTGTGTGTGCTGGATGAGTGGGGTCCTTCATGATGCAGGTGGCTCTCTTCCTGCATCTGTAGATGTCTGTGATGGTGGGGAAACTGACTCCAACAGACTTTGTCCGTTTGTCTCAATCTTTTGTCTAAAACTGCCTTAAAATACTAAATTGCTGTCACTGTCGTCGTTAGACAACAGTTATGTCTTTTCACGTTATATAACAGAGAAAGCAAACAAAAACCTTTGACCAGGCGTCACATACGTCAATACTTCTAACTAAAATCAGCAGAGATGAACAGAAAACTCCATGTCTGGATCTAGCGTTGAATCAAACATCTTAAATGTTTTAGCAACACTATTTACACCGTGGCTGAGTCTGTACAGGTAACAGCAGTGGAATCAGCTGATTCAGTTGTGGTACCTGTTGTGGGGCAGTGGAGTGACTTGTCCCAGCGGGGTGGTGGCAGGTGTGGGCGGCTTCAGGTCGCCTACTACTTCTGCTGTTGAGCTGCTGCCAGAAGACTGGGGCGTCTGTGGACCTTGGAGAGAGCCGCCTGAATTAGCTGGGAGACAAAAGAAGCATTATTACTAAATCTGAAGGATTTTCTGAGTTCTCCCTAAAAACTGTTGCTCATTCAGACCGCGGGGGTCCCACAAGTCCTCTGCTGTGATCTTGAAGCCGGTTCGAGTTACAGCGACCGTAGTGGGATTTCACCGCAGCAAGGTGCTGTATTAGGAAGATAACTTTGGGTTTAAGTCCAAAGCACTTGGAGTGATGCCTGACATGAGAGCTGAGCCGAACAAACACGCTGCACAAGGACAGAGAAGATGGGAACACAGGAACGAGTGACGAGAGGCCAACAGAGGAGGAAGTGAAGGGAGAACGGGTTCAGCAAGAAGGGAAGACAAATGTGTCCACTTGAGCTGTAGAAGCAGCATTCATTTGAAAGGTGTTAAAAATTAGTTTATTTTTTTATTTTATTTGGTGCACTTTGAACTTGAAGCTCACATGAAATCAAATTTAGCGTCTAAAATGTTACAACACACAAGCAGACGCTTTAGAAAAAACATCTACTCAACGTGATTGAAAAGCGTTAAAAGCCTGCTCATGAAAAAAAGAAGAAGCTACCCATCACAATGAGACTGAGGTTAAAATTGGGTTAGTGTGCTATTTTGTTATGACACCACATTTCTGTTAAATTCTCAGCTCAGATGACTGGGAAATTATAGGAGCGCGGCGCTACAAGAACCCTGCACACAAAGAACTCCCAACCAGATAAAAAAAAATAAAAAAAACCCAAGTGATACAAATCCCCCGAATGAATGGAAAATGCGAACTGTTCCAGCTAAAAGATGACAAAGGCAGTGAGAGAACATGAAAGTGTCCTAATGAGCATTTAGCGTAGGAAGCCTTTCCCTGAAAGAGCCTCAGCGGCCTCTCCCTGCGCCACATCCTCCGAAAAAAAGCCCCATGTAAGACTCGAGCTTTAAAAATTCATGCTAATTCTGAATTATTCAATGATACCCCCTGCCTCTTCATCACAGGAGACTGAGGGGAAGAGAGGAGGTAGATGGAGTCCCATGATGATGAGGAGTGGTATGAAGGAGGGCAAAGTCGGGTCAGTGAGCATTAGGGATTCTTTACTTCCTGGGCTATCCCAGTGTCAGACTAAATGAATATGCACACACAGAGAAGAGGACACAACAGTGGGGTTAGTCAAGGTCAAGAGGTTTGAGCAGGTGAGCCGTCACATCTGTAAAATAGAGGAGCGGAGGTATGAAGAACCCAAGCCCCCTGGTCCACATTTAGCAGAAAAAAAAAAAACCGTGGCAAAGATGAAAAAGAAGTGTGTGCGCAGAGGACGTAAAAGCCTGCATGTGTGTCAGTGGGTGACATAATCCAGTGCAGTGGTAGTAGTTAAAAGGGGGGGAGGGATTAAAAAAAAAAGTCAGTCAGCTGAGCCGGTTTTGTGAATGAAAGGTGATGGCGAGGTCGAGTTTGTTTACGTTCTACATTCCAGTCCTCATTAATCACTCCCCACCACATAAACACACTCCCCCCACCCCCATCCAGCCGCTGGACAGACTCCTTCAGTGACATCACCGAGCTGTCAGTCTATATATAGGCTGGCAGGGAGTCAGGAGGGCTGTTTGTACCACGCTGACAGAAATAGGATTTATTTCTTTAAGCGTTTAAATCTGTAAAACTTGTTTTTCCACATTTTTTCTAAGGTTTTAGAACTGGTGCAACTCCCACCAGATTATATGTACACATAAGTAAGTTTGCAAAGTTTCCTTTCTTGTTATGTTAGATTTTCATTTAGGTGGCATGAAAATATGCAAGACTTTTTACTTCCATCAAGTGTTGCACAAAGATCTCCTGATGCATGCTCAATAATCCAGGTAGAAAAATCAAACAAAATTAAGTCAGATAATCTGGACGGATGCAAAAAAAAAAAAAAAAAAAATTGAAACTTTTCATCTTTAATCCAAAAGACTTTGTCAGTCTGAGGAGCTGCACCAAATTCAGTCTTATAAAGAGCACCTTCTCATAGTGGATCAACCAGTTTGTTGTTGACTTTGGAAACTACAGTAGATGATCACATGTTAAAGAAGGACCATCAGTCTAGTGATGTCATTTCTAACCCAAACCTGGAGCTGGGCCATAATAATGTGCTTAATGTGTGGGCCGGGCTGGTGTCGGGCTTTTGATTGCGTTAGCAGATGCGCGCAGCTGACGATCCAATTTTTTTTCATTCATTCATTCAACCTTTATTTAAACAGATAAATCACATTGAGGCTTAAAGACTCATTTACAAGTGAGTTGTTTGGACAGACAATAAAAAGTGGTGAAAAATAACACATAGGGTTTGGAGACAAAAAAATTCCCAATCTCGCTTTTAATCTTTGGTTGAAAGTCAACAGTGTGATAATGAAAAAAAAATCTTGCACACTAGCACATAATGACGCCGACATTACACGCGCCGGGGGGTGAAACACAATGATTACATGGCAACATGGATTGCCATACAATCACCAGCCAAACGCGGCCATTTGACCGTGCGCTGACTGGCCTTGAAAGAGGTAAAAAGTTCAGTTAAGCTTCAGATACTGCCAGGCAGTGATCCATTCAAAGCCCAAATGGACGTTCATTCAGCCGCTGCACTCAGCTGACGCTCGCGGCCGATGACCCAAACAGGTGAGACCCCTAAATATCCGACATGTCAGAGCAGGATCCGTGTCAGAATAATGCAGAATGCAGGCAGAAGCAGGAATTTAATGCCATGAAAGCACAAACACCCCCTCAGCTCCGATCTTCTGCCCCCTTAGCCGCGCACGTCCGCCGACCGTTAATAACTATATAAGCAGTCAAAGCTTACCGGTAATTAAAAATGCCAGGGGTTTTTTTTCGGGTTCGGAAATGATGGCATCAGGGCATTAACGACCAATTGTTACACAGATGGTCCTCCTTTATCATGTGAACAGCTAGTTCTGGATATCAACACCAAACTGGTTGATCCACTATGAAAAGATGCTATTTATAAGACTGAGTTTATTGCAGCTCCTCAGACTGACAGTCTTTTGGATAAAAGACGAAACGTTTCAACAAGTTATTTTTTATTTTTTGCATCAATCCAGATGATCTGACTTAACTTTGTCAGATGTTGCACAAAGAGCAGCTCAGGGTTGAGGTTCAGCTGCGTTTATTCAAAGACAACCTTAAAGTCAAAAAGATTTGGACTGTTTATGATCTTCCCGTGTAAATTCTGTAAAACCGAGCTGTTTGGATCCTCCTGAATCTACGAGAGGAACCTGAATTATAAATTATAATGTGTGGTGAGAGGGTTGGAAGACAGATTTATTGAAATGTGTTTATCTGCATCTATGTTCACTATATTAACGTGCGTGTGTGGATGCAAATGAAACCAGATCCTCTTTTCCGCCCTCCAGGAAAAGCAATCTGCAGCGTCTCAGGTAGGTGAAGAGCTCCGGTGTCCTATTTAAAAGCAGAGTTCACTTTTCTCATCTCCTCTGCAAATTAGAGAGGCGACCTTATCTCTTGGCTCGCACCGAATCTCCCTCACTTCGTAATTGTGCGCGGGGACACATGGTGTGAAACGGGTAACACGCAGACAAAGAGCACCTTTTGTGTTGTGGCGTGCACCAAAATAATATTACTTAACCTCCTCACGCTGTAATCAAATAAAGGCGAGTCTCAGGTTGGAAATACAAGGTTGTATCATAATTCACCTCTATTAAACTATAAATCATCCCATCAAAACAGATCATTTTCACTTGTTTCTCTTGGGTTTTCAATAGTCTTTGTGTTTTTCCTGCTGTTTTTATTTGAATGGGAGAATAAATGTAATTTTAGGCTCACCAGCCACGCCACTGGAAGGTTTGGGTCAGATTATAGAAACTTTGTTTAAACTTATAAATGCGAACATCATTTTAAGTAAGATTTAAGGATGGAAACAGCTGTGATGTTTGACACAGCTACAAAGCTCACAGAGGAAATCTGGGCTGATCAACAGCACCTGTTGTGGAGCTGCTGACAGATGGGAGCGCCATTAAAAAAATTAAAGAGAGGCGTACCAGGTGAAGGCGGCTGGATCTTGACCTGCTTCCTGTTGTCGCCTTCGGTCACGCTGCTGCCACTGTTGCTGTCCGCTGGCGGCTCCTCTCCTCTCTCCATCTTGCACTCGTAGGCGAACAGGAACTGGATGTACTGCTTCTTTAGCGTGCTGGCAGAGCTGCTGGACGTACCGACGTTCAGGGTGCCGGACAGCTCGCGCCACTTCTTGTTCTTATTTACCTGAGTCGTTTTAACAGATTGAGAGAACCCAATAAGAGGATTGAATTGATCATGATGTTTATAGTTTATTTTGTTGTGCTCGTGTATTTTTGATGGAAATCCTGATGAGTGACGGCCGCATGTGATAATACTGTGAATGCTGATTCAGCAGTCTAACGACTTTGTGCTATTTTAACATTCATACCTAAAGAGTTCAGCTCATTCAGGAGACAGATGGTCTGACTTTTGTTTCTTTGTAACTTTTATACTGTATTAAGTATTTAACTTTATTTACAAATATTTTACCCATAGAAATATGTTAAGTTCCCTTCAGTTCCTACCAAAACATTGTTCTCTTTAAGATCTGCTTCAACACAATGCTTTCGTGCTAATTTTAGCTTTTAGTTAGCCTTTGATACTTTTAGATTTTAGCTACACATTTAGCTTTTAACTGGACTCAAATGCTATTTGATGCTTTTTTTTTTGCTACTTTTAGCATGTAGTCAACATTTTGCTACTTTTAGTCAGCCTTTTGACATTTTAGCTTCTACCTGTACATAGTTTTTTGAAACTTTTATGTAGCGTTCGACTTCTTTCAGCTATCTTTTAGCTGTTTTCAGATTTTAGCTAGAGTTCTGCCGCCTTCAACTTTTAACTGGACTTTGAAGTATTCAGCTTTTAGTCTTTTGCTGCTTAGCTTTTAGCTTCTTTTAGTCAGCCTTTTGACATTTTAGCTTCTATATAGCTTTTTGAAACTTTAGCATTCTACTTCTTTCAGCTAGCTTTTAGCTGTTGTCAGATTTTAGCTACAGTTCTGCCGCATTTAACTTTTAACTGGACTTTGATGTATTTAGCTTTCAGTCTGTTGCTACTTTTAGCTGCTGTAAGTCAGCGTTCTTCTAACATTTTAACTTCTATATAGTTTTTTGACACTCCGAGCCTTTTGCTCTTTTATTTAGTGTTTTACATTTTTAAGCTTGCATTTTGTACTTTTAGCTTTAATCTAGCGTTCTACATTAGTTAGTGTTTTGCTCCTTTTAGCTTTAAATGCTCAGTTTCAGCTTTTCAAGCCGTCATTTAGCGCTACATGCTCACACTGCACCTTTACAGAAAATGCAATTTCTCTATAGCTTTTATGTTGTGGTTCTAATTTAAAATCAAAACCGTATTAGGCTTCATTGAATGTTTTATTTATGCTAACATTATTCTTGAGCACTTTTTCTGTGGTTTGAGGCTCTGCTTTTTGTTTCAGGGAGAAAAACCTCTACATTTCTACACATTTTATAAAACAGTGCTTGTTCACAGGTTGAGCTGATTCATACAGAAATATAAATTTATATTTGATTTTGCTGCAACAAGGCATTGACCAGGTAGCACCTTTGGGGTAAGACAGAGTGCCACACATAATCCAGGCCTTATTGAACTCCAATTCTCTGCAGTTCGGTTGAAAAAACTTGTGCGAAGCTTTTGTGTTGGAGCACTGAACCACAGGAGTGCCCGCGCTTTTCTCCGTGACTCTCAGCTGTCCACTTTAAAACTCGTAAGACCATCTTTAAAACTTTCTTTCTCCTTTACACACACAAGGTCTCAGATCCACAAGTAGGCTGTTCAGAATTAATTTATGTATCTTTTTCTTTTGAGGACATCTCTTAACATTTACAAGCGTGCCGTATGCCATTTAGCTAGAGAGCATGCTGCTGAAGAATACTAAAAAAAAGCATGTGCTCATGATAAGAGGGACTTTACTGCAGGAGAAGCAAACCCTTCAGTAGGTGCTATTTTAAGGATTGAAATGTTTCTTTTATCTCTAATATTATCCCATAATCAACCCTGTTTTCTGTGCGTTACCATGGCGAGGCCTCCTATCTCCCGAACAGCCATGTAGAGCTTCCACAGGTCCAGCGGTTTCTTGCCCACAGCTGGAAGCTGCGAAACAGGTGTGCCCCGCTCCTCCATGAAGGTCAGGTACCGCTCCACCCAAGCTCGTCTCTCGGGCTCTGCACCCAGCTCGTACAGTCGGCTGGCTCTCTCGCCGCCGATGGAGGAGTTTGGGTTGACTTTCTGATCAAGACAAACAATAAAAACAGCCGATTATAGAGAAGTAGCAGCACAGTCTGCAGTTTATTTTCCTGCTGCTGCTTTCAGCTGCAACAACCCACTCACCCTGTCACGACCATTAAAAATTCATCTGTTATTTACACAGTGTGAGCGGCCGAATGACTGAGTAAAAAACAAGAGCATTTTGATCAGAGCGCAGCGGCTTACAAACCTTTAAATTCAAATTAATGAACAAAGTCTAATCATAAACATCAGCTCAGGTTCAGAAACATGATTCTGAACAGAAAAAAAGCAGCTTGGCAAGAATTTCAAAAGATTTTATGCAAAACTGTTATTCATTAGTAGAGGCGTCTTTACCAAACCATCAAATAAAGAGAATTTCTAGTTCTTACAGGGCTGGAAGGGGTCTTGAGAGGCCAAGGTGGGCTGCTGATGCTGTCGCTGTCATCCCCATGGTATGACGACAGGCTGGCGGGGCTGGGGGAGAGGGAGGGGGGCATGGGCAGGTTGCTGCCTGGAGTGGCTGGCTGGGACACACTGCTGCTGTTGTTGTTCATGTAACCATCCTGAAGCTGCTGAGTGACATTTCAGGGAGAAATATTTTACCGTATATCCCATTTCAGCTGCTCACCAATAAATACTGCATTTCAAACTTGAAACAAGCATAAAAACAGTCCAGTGTTTATAAAATGTACTTATTCAAGAAAACTTAACTAAAATAATAAGTAAACCGAACACAGCACAAAGAACACAAATGAATTGCAAGAAATGAGGATTTTACAAGTCTTTAAAAATGTATAGGTTTGATGCTTTAAGCACATTTTAAAAAGTGGAATTCAAGGATGACGTGTCTCCAAACTAAAATTTAAGACACGTATGATTTGCATTTTATTCTTTATTTTGCAAATACTACATACAGTATAAACAAGAATTAGATAAATAAATTGAATGAAACACAATTTTAGATTCTATTTTGAAACTAGGAATACTGCCTGACTGGGTAAGAAGCAGAGTGAACATCAGACTCTTGGGAAAACAAACAAACAAACAAACAAACAAACAAACAAGGCCATAAGCTTCTATATTCCCATAAGCAGTTATATTCATACCCATCTACTCACAACAGACTCATGTTCAGGCTGCTTTTTATTACACCATATTATATCAGATTATTATTGTTTAGCATATATCTTAGATCCTTATATGCCAGACGTGGGCAACATAAGGCCTGAGGGCTAAAAGTGGCCCTTGGACAATCGCCATCAGGCCCCCCCAATATCCTTATTTAAAAAATAAATAAAAAAACACCCAACTTTTTAAATAAAGCTTGATAAAATACCCGCAATTTATCAACAAGACTTAAGGAAATTTAAATTAATCATCTTATCCAAAACTTAAAAATATATATTTTTAATTAAAGGGTGAGGTTCTGCCTCAAGTGGAGGAGTTCAAGTATCTTGGGGTTTTGTTCACAAGTGGAGTGTGAGATTGGCAGACAGATGGGTGCAGCGGCTGCAGTATTGTGGACGCTGTACCGGTCCATTGTAGTGAAGATGGAGCTGAGCTGTAAGGCAAAGCTCTCTGTTCACCGGTCGGTCTACGTTCCCACCCTCACCTACGAGCTCTGGGTAGTGACTGAAAGAATGAGATCCGCAGTACCTCTCGTGTCATACCATAAATGCAGATTTACATAATGAGTATAGCTTAAAACAAGAAATATATTTTATGCCCACTGTAGCTGTTGCTGTGAATTAGTGCACATTTTGTAAAAGGACTGTAACAATTTGTTTGCACAGATGTGACATAAATGCAAATCAAACTGATACAAACTCCACTTGGTGTAAATCGCTCAGCGCTCGTGAACGCCCTCATTCTTCAGTGCATGTGAACATGTGTGTGTGTGTAAAAGAAACTGCAAAAGAGGGAACAACAGCTTGACAAGTGCTTCTCGTCTGCGTACAGAATGCTCGTGTCAGCAAAACCTTATCTTTCTGGGCCTCTCTGTCTGAATTTCTAACTCATTTTCTCTTTCTTGGCAGACAGATCATCTCTTTAGGGAGCACTGGGGGTCTTTCTGGCTGCTCGGGATGCCTTAAATAATTCAAAAGGCCCTACTACCGTAATCAGCAAAAGAAAAGGCAGGGATTTGGAGGGAAAAGTCGTGTAGTGGTTGTGATGGAGGCGTGAGTGCATGTGTGTGCAAAAAAACAAGAGGAGGGAAGTGCAAAGAGCAGTTCTGTTGTTGCTGAGCTACTATTGTAGGTCAAAATGAAAAGTCAGCATTGTGCATTGAGACGCGTGTTTGTGAACAAAACGAGGCACAGAGGAAGAACCGTGCACGCTGTGGGTCTGAATGTCTTCTTGTATTTATGTGCCCAGCGTGTCTGCGTTGTGTGCGAATGCTTGTGTGCTCTGCAGATGCCAAGTCCTCTGCTTCTCTTTTAGTTTCTCTCTTTATCGCAGCTCGAGCTGCTGAAACGTCAGCAAGCAGAGAGTTGCTGCGGGCGGAAACAAAGCGAGGGAAACATTAAGGATGGTAAATGTTAAACAATTCATTAAATATGGCGAGCAAACAACAGAGAAAGAGCCCTCTGTGCTGAGGAAGAAGGGGCTGATCAGATTCGGATTCATTAATTTACCGTATTTTCCACTGTATACGTCGCACCGCTGTATAAGTTGCATCGGTCCAAATATGTGTAATAAAGTGGAAAAACATAAATACATCACAACGCCGTATAAGTCGCATTGCGTTTGTTACGTGTCATCGCTGACAACCTGGAAATGAGGGCTAAACCCAGAAATGTGGGCTGGTGTTGTGCCAAAAATCGATTGCATGGGAGGACTTTAACAAGAATTTAACAAGATTAACACTTAAAAATAATTATCCGTTTGCACGAAATTATAGAAAAGGTGCGTCTCAGTTGAAGTTTTCCTTAATAAATGCACTTTAATGGTCAAATCAGCTGCATTTCACCTGGGTGACACAGCAAAATGCAGCTGATTTGACGTTTGCTCCAGGAGTTCCTGAGTGAGATGAAGGTGACCTGTATGGCAAGCCAAGTGTCTCATTAATAGCCACTTTTGTCTATTAATGAATCACTTGGCTTGCCATATTAGTCGAGGGCCCACTAGCAGCTGAAAATGGTAGTGTTCAATATTTTCCATGTCAGAATGAATGAAATCGTCAGATCTCAGCCAAAAATTGTGCTATAACTATGGAAAAAAACAAAAATACGTTGCTTGGGTGTATAAGTCACAGGGCTCGCAAATTATGCAAAAAAACTGCAACTTATACGCCATAAAATACGGTAAATAAAAAAAAAAACTAAATTCAAACAAGGCCTGCCATTCCTTGAAGAAATGCATATCGCCCGCTCTCTTTCATTCCAGAGAGTTAATCGAACATTGACATCCCACATAATGTTACAAGATGTCCCCCGTCATTTTGAAGTTCCTGTTCAGTAATAAACTTAAAAATTTAAATTCCGATTTTTGTTTTTTGCTTCTCTTTAAACTGTTTGTTCACAGTCTTTAATAGACAGAAATGTTAAATAACCACCAGACACTGAAAGCTGAGGTTGTTGTGGAAAAAGGAGCAAAAATACAGACTCAGTACACATTTTTTTGACAGTTTTACAACTATAAAAATAAAAAAAAAACAGGCGGCCCAGTTATAATAAGAGGGTTAGTAACTCATCTACAAACGTTACATTTGTGCTCAATTTCTGTAAAACTGACTAAGATATAGCCATTTCAGTGATGACTAATTTGAATTAGCTGTGGTGGCCATCTTGACTTGGATTGACTCCAAACATTTATCAGTTCTAGTTAAACATTTAGTGATTCATTTTTAAGAGTTGTATTAAAATCTGCCCGTGGGTCATGAGATATGTTGCTAACACACAGAGCATATTCAGCTAATGACTACATCTGAAACAAAGAGTTTCAGTGTCAGCTACTACAACTCCCAATTTTAGCTCAATATCTGTAAAACTGAATGTTATATTTTTTGTATCTTTGTGTTTTTAAGGTCGGTTGGCTGTGGTAGCCATCTTGAACGGAGTTGACTCTAAAAGGTAACAGTTGTAGATGAACATGTAATGAATACTTTCTGCATGTTTAATTAAAATATATCCATTGATTCATGAGACATTTAGCTAACAGACAAACACTGGCAAAAACATCATCACCTGGTTTTTGTATTTTGGTGGCGAGTGGTAATAAATGAGGGAGGAGACTGTAAAAAATAAAATAAATAAAGCTAGTCTGGGAGGTACCTTTGGTTTGTGTGGCTCATTGTTAGGGCCGCCTTCATCTTTGACGTCCAACTTTAGTTTTCCATCTGGGCTCATTAAACCGTCTCCTGAGAGTCCTAACAGAAAAAAATAAATTAATTCATAGTAACCTTATACTTAAATTTACAACGCTGAAAAAAATGATGAGAAAGCTTTTCCTAAAGTTGAAAATAAAAATCATCTAAGTTTTGAGCAAAGTGAAACAAATTTACGAGCTTTATATTTAAATGTACGTTTTGGAAACAGCACCGATATAATAAGCTTTTATTACATTGCTTTTAATTAACTTTCTAAATCACGACTGTTTAAGATAAATCTCAACATCGAGGTGTACGTTTTTAATTGAAAAAGTCACATTTTCACAGCTGAACTTTCTGTTTTCTGTGGTCTCAAGGTCAGTTTAGGCCTGTCTGACAGTTCAGCTCAAACGTAGCAGGAAACACTGCCTTCTTATGAAAGAGAAAAAGTAACAAAGAACTCCAATTAAAGCAAACTGAGCTGCTGCAGTCGCCCAGTTCTGTGGAAAACATTTTCACAAATACAAAAAGATGATGAAATAATAGATTGACATTCAAAAGAGCCTGGCAGCTGACATTATGCACATTTTATTATGTTTCTATTTTAAGAATTCATATCCTACTTTTAATTGTGTCACATGCATGTTCCTTCATAACAAAAAAAAATCCTTGATTTAGGGTTACGGTTTTTTATTTCTCTGTAGTGTGCTGCAGCTATATGGAGAAAACTAATGGTATTTTACTTTGCGTTTTGGAACTGTTATTGTGTATTTCGGACTTTAAATCTTAGCGGCCCTTTTGTAATGGTACGATTTTCATAAGCAACTATGCAGCATCTATAAACCATAAAAACAAATGCAACCAGCTGCTAAAAAGCTGGCTTTGAAATTCTCCAATTCTTTTCTCTGCTACAAGCTCAACCAGATGAAAAATATGAGCGATAATTTAAAATATTAGCTATCAGCATTCAAATGATCAAAAAGCAACTTCCTGCAAGCATAAAACGATCCACATGCCTCCAACACAGGCTGTCAAATAACCTCTGCTAGTTGGCATTAGTTACCTGAAGGAGGGATACTGTAGCCTGGACCTTGTCCGTTTCCTGTTGCTGAACTGTTGTTGCTCATTGACTGACTGTAGGAAATGGCGCTCCCTTGGTTGATGCTGGGGCTTTGGTAGTTTCCCTGCCTACCACACACAGAGGTGCACAAAGTTATTAGACCTAACAGACATGACTGAAGTCAGAGCTGCAACGTAACGACAGACTGTGGAGAGAAATTGTAACAGTGAAAGCTGCAAAGGAACAGGTCACATAATGCCAGAGATGATTTCTGGCAGTGTGTCACTGCCGTCATCCTTTACTGATCCAGAAAAAAACAAACTGAAGCCTGTACTTCTGAGAGCCACGCTAAAAAGACAAAGCATATCCCTGATCAAACAAACAGCTCTTCTAAAACATTTAGGATGAGCACGTAGCATAAGAAAAGAAAAAAAAAAAACATTGCTGCTGTTCTCTTCTACTAATCCCCCCTCCCTCTGTTCCCTCTCATCCTCCCTCTTCTTATCCCACAAGTCATAATTTAACTAATTAAGGTGTGCTTTTGGAGAAGATCTTGTTATTTGTTGCCATGGTGACGGCGGAAATCAATGCCGCTCACTCAGCCTCCCCTCTATTTCTGGCAGCTCATCACATGTTATTGCAAGTGACATCAGAGGGGGCTTATCTGCAACCTGCTGAATACTAGCCATCCATGTGTGTGCATGCATGTGTGTGTCTAAAGACATTGGCTGAGAAAATGACATGAAGGCTGAAATGTAGCACGGTGTTTGGAACCATTACGTCCATCTCCTGATGATTAGCACCAGGACAACCATGAGAGAAACAAAACGTCTGAGGACACAATACTATAGCCAAGAAATAAAAAGGACGGAAACTGATTTTGTTAAAGGAATAAACGATGGAAGCAAACCATGACAGGACACAGAGGGGGAGTAGGATGTAGCGCTGTTTGTGTGTGTGATTTACATGTCAGTCATTTCTGGCCTAACTGGCATCATTCTTTCTTTTTACACACGTCATATAATACCACATGTTGGAAGCGATGCACATTGCCTGAGAGGAGGGATTGGTTTGGTAAACCTCCCCATAATCTCATCTCACAGATGTAATTAGTCATAGAGCACGGCTGATGATACATATGTAATCCCTCTATGGGGGCCGAGGTGCACAGGGAGGCACCGTGGTGAAGAAACACAAAATCCACGCTTATCTGTCCCCATTTCCCTACAAAGAAGGGGGAATATAGACTCCTTCAACGCTGCCTACGTGCTCCCTCGTATGAGTCAAGACGCAGAAATACATTCACTTTTGGATTGGTGCACCTTTTTAAGCGAGTCAGAAACGCGTTCTGCACGCAGACTCAGAACAGTTTAGAGATGCCGAATGACCCCTACCCACTTTAATCAACAGAAGCACAAACTCTCATGTGAATACAGAAAAATCCAAATCAGCAACAACAACACTGGTTGGTGTTTTTGACTGTGGCGCTCTCCCATTATGACTAATTCATGTCATAAAAAAGCCCATTAGAAAGCACTTGATGGAGGCACTGCACAGCGTTTAATCACACTTAATATATGCATGTGCCGCTATCAGGGCTATGGGGGTGGGGGTAGGTTGGTGGGGTGGCAAGCAGGGGGACGGCACAGCTCATCCATCTTGCTCTTGGGCACCTTTGTGCCGACAAAACAAGTATCCTTTTGCTGCAGAGAAAGAAAGAGTGAGTGAAGGAGGAGAGGAAAGAGAGAATGGAAATGAGGGTGACGAAGACGAGGAGAGGGGGAGGGAAATGAAAGCAGGAGGATGCCTGAGTGGTGTGTGTGTGAGCCCCTGCTGGACCTATGGGGGGAGTGTTTTTAGCTTAATAAAACAACTTGCATCATTTTTAGTTCACTGGACAAGAATTGGATAAGGTGGCCTCACAGTTTAAGATATGCAAAACATCTGGCAAAAAATAATATATGGTATTTATAGAGATGCACGATATTATCGCCAGGGTATCGTATCGGCTGATATTAGCGATAAAGTTAAATATCGGCCAGTCCATTCGAATAACTCAGATATAAAAGGTGCTGTTTATCCATCCATCCATTTTCTTTACTCGCTTTTTCCATTTTGGGTCACGGGGGTCGCCGGTGCCCATGTCCAGCAATCACTGTGGGAGGGGTGAGGTACACTTTGGACAGGTCGCAAGTCCATCACAGGGCCACATGGAGACAAATGAGACAACCATTCACTCTCTCACTCTCACCTAGGGAAAATTTAGAGTTATCAATCAGCCCAACATGCATGTTTTTGGTCTGTGGGAGGAAACCGGAGTACCTGGAGAAAACCCACGCATGCACCAAGAGAACATGCGTACTCCACCCAGAAAGGCACCTGGACCGGGATTTGAACCGGGGACCTGCTCACTGAGAGGCAGCAGCTCTACCAGTTATGCCACCGTGCTGCCCATATGTATATAAGGTGCTGTTTTTGTACGACAACCCGATGACAAGGATGCCTGCAGTGCCAGCACAACGTTATGACATCACTCATGCCGTTGAGTTTAGATTTGTGAAAATTTGCGCTGTTCAAGTGTAATTGTGTTAGAAAGAGTAAATGTCATGAATAAATTTGACATTAAACATAATCCAAGTTGAAGTGTTACGTCATTTTCAGCCTCCTTTTGGCATCTGCATTTGGTAGCAGGTCAAACTGACAAAGACCACACAGAATAATGTGGTATTTTAATTCCACAGCCGAGAAAGCTACGTACGGTAGTCTCTGTAAATAGGTCTAGGGGAAAAATATCAGTATTGGCCAAATAAGTTTAACACATCGGCATATCGGATAAAAAAAAAAAATCCAATATTGTGCATCCCTAGTTATTTATACTCTGGTTGCTTTAAAAGCATAATTACAATAAATTCCATTTAAATGATAAACGTCAATTGTTTAACCAGATTCCCCAATTTAGTCCATGTATGAAGGGCATCTGAGGAGGCTGCTATGGAACTGTGAGGAGACTGAGTGTGTCAGAGCGTGTTTGAGCGTGTCCTTGTGTTGGTGCTGTTGCCAAGGGGATGCCATGGTTACGAGGTGCCAGCCAAACAGCTGACGGTTTCCCTCTAGAAGTGGCAGCGCCTTTGTCCTTCATTTGTGCTGACAGGCCGCGCCGATCCCTCCCAGTGCAGCTAACCGGACGAGACAGCTGAGGCGCTGGGACCGCAGGAGCGTGTGACAGCTGAGAGGCCCTTCCTATCGATCCCTCTGCTTGGTGCGTGTTTAAGTGAGGGAAGAAAGAAGCGGTAAGGGAGGCTGGCTGGATGGAAGGATGGAGTGGATCGGCTGGAGGCTATGAATTATATATGGACCCAATCTGTTCTCAGGGCAGCTTGGGCTCCATGCTTCCCCAAACTTCTGACTCAACTCACCATCCACCCTCACAAACACACACAAACTACAAACCAGAATAAATCCAACACACACACAAAAAAAATAGAAGGACAGCTTTTAACATATTAAATCCAGAGAAAAGCACCCCCACCCCTGCCTTCCAAACATCAAACAGCTCAGGATGGATGGATGAAGGAGAAGCCATTTATTTTGCCCATCTAATGAAAGCAGAGCGTTCTGCGGCGCTGCCAAGACTGCGAGCGACAAAGCGCCACAGGCAGCATCTTCCGTTCTTGACATTCAAGAGCTGCTCTTATTTATTTAGCAAATTTACTTACTAAGGAGGTCAGAAATGAATTATTTGGCGAGGATTTGCCTGTGAGCACTTTCCTCCCCTCTCTTCTTCCCTCATCCAACATTTCTCTCTCTTCAATTTCCTTTTTATTTATGGCGCTGTTATTTTTATTTTTTTTTAGCTTCGCTCTTCTTCAACTAAGTGCTTATTTTTACGACAGCTCGCCTGTTCCTATAGCTCCAGGAAGTTTTTGCAGAGAGTCGCCGGTAGCGCTGGAAAGTCATTTGTAAAGCCAATTGATCCTCAGAAGCCGCTGCCAAGAAAAGCTTATACCTTTTAATACTTTGTGTTCTTCTCTCTCTTTTCCAAAAACACATCAATCTCCAGCCCCCTAACAGCCTGTTGTGCACCTCTCATCCAAACAGGCTTATACTTCCTCCTCGTGAACGCTGTCAGTGTTAGTTCAACATACCACGCCGATAACTGGCAGCTGACTATCCTTCAAAACTCATCTTTTCATGACTGTGATATTATTTTTTACAGATAATTAGCAACATTTGGCAAGTTTGCCATTCTCAATTTAAGGGATTATAGCTGCAAAAAGAGAGTATCAAAGTCACAAGATGTGTGAAACTTTGTGCACCAGTTTTACAACTAAAGCATTAGTTCAATTCAATTCAGTTTAGTTTATTTATTTGGCGCCACGTCACAACAGAAGTCATCTCAGGGCACTGAACAGAAACATTCATATACATAAAAAGTAAGTTAACATTATTTATCTGAGGAGCAGACTGATTTGAGTTTATCTTCATCGTAGAACTCTCATCTTGAGCAAGCATGAAGGCGACAGTGGGAAGGAAAAACTCCCTCATGAGGAAAAACCTCCAGCAGTACCAATCAGGACAAGTGGTCATCTGCTTTGACCGGCTGGGTTTGAGAGGAACAGATACACAATGGCAGGTCAAGAATCACATGTTAATATAGAAATAATATCAAATGAAAACTATTCAATTGTAACAATTCAATTTAAGAAATGAGGTCAATTTGTCCTCTATTAGTCTATAGCAGCATAACAAGCCAACCCTAACTATAGGATTTATCCAAAAAGAAAGTCTTAAGCCCAGTCTTCAAACTGGACAATGTGTCAGCCTCACGGACAGAAACTGGAAGTTGGTTCCACAAGAGAGGAGCCTGATAACTGAAAGATCTTTCTCCCATTCTGCTCTTGGAAACTCTAGGAACCACAAGTAAGCCTGCAGTCTGAGAGGGAAGTGCTCTGTTAGGAAAATATGGGACAATAAGATCTGTAATATAAGATGAAGATAGGTTGTTGAGGGCTTTGTAGATTAGAAGTAAGATTTTGAAATCTATTCTGGATTTGACAAGGTGTGGTGGTGGCGCAACTGGTAGAGTTGCTGTCTCTCAATGAGAAGGTTGCTGGTTCAAATCCCAGTCCAAGGGCTTTCCTGGGTGGAGTTTGCATGTTCTCTCCGTACATGCGTGGGTTTTCTCCAGGTACTCCGGTTTCCTCCCACAGACCAAAAACATGCATGTTAGGCTGATTGATAACTGTAAATTGTCCCTAGGTGTGAGTGAGAGAGTGAATGGTTGTTTGTCTCGTTTGTCTCTATGTGGCCCTGTGATGGACTTGCGACCTGTCCAGGGTGTACCCCGCCCCTCGCACAGTGATTGCTGGACATGGGCACCGGCGACCCCCGACCCAAAATGGAAGAAGCGGGTAAAATATAATGGATGGATCTGGATTTGACAGGGAGCCAATGAAGGGAAGCTAAAACTGGAGATATATGATCTCTCCTATGAACTCCAGTTAAGACTCTGGCAGCAGCATTTTGGATCAACTGAAGACTTTTTAAAGAAGCATTTGGACACCCAGATAATAAACCATTGCAATAGTCCAGTCTAGATGTGACAAATGCATGAATCAGTTTTCTCCATCACTCTTAGACAAGATGTTTCTAATTTTACTGCGATCACGCAGGTGGAAGATGGCGGTTCTGGTAACGTTTTTAATGTGGGGGTGACATGTCCTGATCAGATGAACAGGAATATTTTTCATGCATTCTTGAGTCTCCAGCTCAAAACTCTTCCCGCTCAACCATATCAAACTGATTAACCAATAGAAGCGGGACATTTGTTTCTAATCCCAGCCCACTGGTGGATGAAGGGGAAACTGACACAGCTCAGGAGGAAATAAAAACACTTGATACGCCACACCTAATGAAGATTTAATCTCGACCCACGCCTGCTGCCATGGGATGCCAGAAGTGGCCCTCCTCTGTTCATTTGGAATTCCTTTCACTGTGTAATGAAACTGGAACATGTTTACTAATGTCTGAAGGTGTGTGTGTGTGTGTGTGAGTCAGGAGGGGATGAAGACGAGAGATGAGAGGGCAGAAACGTAGAGGATTAATGGTGAGGATGAGGCGTGGGGATGTGTGCAAGAAAATGAGAGGAAAGAAGCAGAGACCAGCTTATATTGAACTAACTAGCTGCTTATTTTGGAAGGTTTGGTAGCAGGAGTCTCTGGCAAACGGCGTTGATTCATCAAAGAGGAAGACTACACACATGCTTCAGCTAACAAGTTGTTTCTCAGACGGAGAAGTCTGAATGTTTCACAGTGTTGCAGAGATACGGAGCCTTTAACTGCAGGTTTTCGGAGGCCAATTTTCCCCTGATCTCCTTCAGATGTTCTAAAGTGGGATCTGAGGGAGAAAAACATAACAAGGTTGTGCTGGAGACAACGGAGAACAAAAGGCAAATTGGAAAGAAGAAAGGCTGAGTGAGATAAAACAGTCTGGGTAGGATAATAGAGCTGCACAAAGATGACAAGGGCGATACAGTCGGGAGAGTTGGCAAAAAGAGTGAACCAGGTGGGAGGAGAGAGAGGAGAGGTAGACGAGGAGGGGAAAGAAGGAGGAGATGTGAGCGACAGCAGATGAGACAAAAAGTAGGGAGGCACAGATAATCCCACAAGTTTCTTACAAGTTTTCTCCAAAAATGTCCATTACAAACAAATTTTTATGGCACCTTTGCACAATTTTCTTTCTGCCAAAACACTAAATCCTACTTTTGGAAAACGAATAAAGAAGGCAGCAAAAGTAGGACGACTTATTTACATTTTTAAACACTGATTGGTTTTGGCGTCTAATTGTCTCATCGAGTGAGGAAAAATTTTCACACTAGCTGGGTTATACAAATTCTCTGTTGTAAACAGTCGACTAAAGCGATGCTGTGATTTGAATAAACACTGTAAGAAGTGGGAAATTAATGAGAGGCCGGTAGAAAGGAGAATAAAGGAACAGAATTCTCACAGAAAAATAGAACAAAACCTCTTCATTGGATTGGATTTTTTTGCTTCCCATGTGATCTGTGGCTTTAAGCTCGACGCCTTCCTGACAACTTCACGGAAAAGAAGACAAACTACCGAACGCAGCACACCTCTCACAGCTGATAGTGAATCAAAATGGATCACTTTACAGCAAACAGAGTTAGAATGAGAGAGAACAAGCCTCCTCCTCCAGCAGCTCCACAGTGAGCGACACCTCTCTGGTGTCTTGGTGGGGAGACTGACAGGCAGCCTCATTGGTCCCAGCAGTGGGGATCGAGTCATGCCACTTCTTATTGACAGCCCAGCCATCTCTTAATAGCTTGTTCAACATTTGCATTGCTGCCTGTCTGCATAAGTGTGTGTATGTGTGTTGCAGTGGAGCCCCTGATGCACATAATTAATCATACATATTGTCAGGCACTTGCGGCCCTCCCCAGCACTCAACAGGAGTGTGTCTACTCAGGATTCTGGATGTGCTCTCTTGCGGCTTCTGTGAGAGCGACTAAAAGTCGCCTGTTACGATCTTGATGACAATTAGTTGAAATCATTGATGCCACTTTTGTTTTTGTTTGATGTGAGGGAGGACACTTTATGATTTATTGCTTAAAAAAACTGTCAACATGACACAACAGCAGTAAGTAAGTTTTTTTTGGCTGCTCCCTTCTTAGGGTTCACCACAGCGAGCAAACTCGCATGAAAGGTTTTACAATTTGTTTAACGCTGATGCCCTTCCTGATGCAACCAGGGCTTGAACCTGCAACCTCAGGATTGCGGCACTGACCACCAAGCTACTGCATCCCCCCAATATGACACAACAGCATTCCTACAAGAATACAAGCAAAATCTGGGTTCCTAGACATTCAGCCATTCATTTGAATATATATGAAAGCCTCTAATTTTCCAATCTTTCAATTCATTTTTGACAACTAAGTGCAATCATTTTCTGCAAATTTACACTGATTATTTGTGTTTTATTGTTTTTGTGCTCAGAATATCATGCAATACCCCAAAATGTACCTATAGCCATGCATACACCTGGTGCCACTGCCACCTTTGAGACCAGAAAAGCTGCATGAGGATGCACATGTACATTTTCAGTCAGTAACATATGATACAAACAGCTAAAATGTCAAACTGCAGTTTTGAAGTGGTAGATGAACCAAAAAAAAATAAATAAAAATAATGCCATCACGGTGACTACATCCATTTTTTATATCAATAACTTGATAGGTGTTTTGCTTGCTGGAACATTTTTATAATTTTTTTCAAAATCAGAAAACGCAACATGGGAGAAAGTTTAGAGAATATTTTTTTACTCATTTTTTGTTGTTGTTTTATACCTATTCAGACCTGGAAAATACTAAAAGCAAATTTTATTGTTTTTAAGTTTTTTTTTAAGACGAGGAACCCTGAGAAACCACATGATGTGAGGGATGGAAAGGTCTGAGTGGAAGTGTGCTTCAAGCAAGTTAGAAGCAGCATGAAGATCACTTTCTAAAAAAGGACATTTCATCTGTAACTAGATCCCAGTCTTCATTGTGACTCACGTTTCAAACAAACAAGAGAACGATCTTTGACGAACGTAAACTGCCCCTTCAGACTGTAAGAATGTTGATACTGCTCCCACAATGCATCGTTAGTAAAAACACACACTTGCATAAAGAAGTGGAGAAACTTCTTGTTCCTTTTAGCAGCGTTTTCACACGCTTTCCTGGCAGGGTTCAGGAAAAGTTTACTGCCCACACAATCCCTCAACAACCTCCGTCTCCGGCACCATAAGCACTCATATAGTCAAAGTGTGATGGAAGAATAATAACCCTAAACTCGAACTGTGCTACAGCATCAACAAGCTTCTTATTTGTGAATAAGCTTGGTGCAGTCGTCATCTCTGGTGTTCTCGCAGGTAAAACTGAAGTTGACTTTTTCTCCTTTTATGTGTTGACTGTACAGTATTCATTCCAGCAGCCATCTCACGAGCTAATATCTGACTTTTTCCCAATAAATGGCTCTGAAATCAAAATGTCAGGCACTTTATGAAATGTGTGAAGAGATAAGGGTGGGGTGGCTCACAGAAGAGTGGAAACCCTGGGAGAGAACTGTAAATGTAAAAAGTCACTCAGCAGACTGTGATAAGACAGAAGTGATCACCGGGTTATAATTTTAATATGCGTCTAGTTTGTGGTAGTCTATATTTTGTAACAACTTAAAAGTTCTATTTTTTTTCCCAGAAGGTCTTCTTACCTGTTGTGAACGGAGTTAGCAGATCCCAGCATGCCAGCTACCGCTCCCTCCTGGACCTTGCGGTTCGAGCTACCCAAAGATGGAGGACCCATCCCTGGCCCTGCTGACTGTGGTATGCTGGGAGAACTTGGACCCATAGATGAATATGTCCGATTCTGGCTGCCTGGGCCAAGGCTGCGTCCTCCAGATACTGGCTGCCCCGGGCCCTGACCATGCATGGGACTGGTGGCGTTCATTCCCAGACTGTTAGTCATACCAGGTACGGGGCCGCTGTAGCTGGTACCAACTGCCCCGCTGTAGTTAGAGGGTCGAGGGTAGTTACCTAAAAGAATATTGGAAAATCAGCTTGCTAAACTTTACAATTAATACAAATGTACACATAAGAGACTGTCCTTCCAAAGCTAAACAGTTGGCTGTCAAGAGCTGAGACGTATAACTTATTTTGTTTGAATTTAATGGACTGAATGACTTCTGTGAAATATAATAATTGCACGTAGGCTTTATAAATCTCCCCATTTCAGAGGAATGGAGTGTTGTCAGCCTCTGCTTTTAGGAGTACAACAATGGCACAACAGTTTCATTCATCTAGAAAATAAAACCGTGACAGGTGAGGAATGAGGAAAATGTAAAGGGCAGGACTAAATTCTTATTCAAGGTCTCTACAAAACACAGTTGGAGAAAGTAAAAAAAACTATCTAGGGTGTGTTTCTGATGACATTTTTCACAGCTGCAGGTTGCTAGATAGCCCTGGGAACGATTTCCAAGCTTAAGGCTGACTTTGTGAAACACTTGAGAGGAGCTCTAATCTGCAGTAAATGCTTTCTTGCTGCCCTGGAGTGCCACGCGACCACGATGCCAGAAGCTCTCCTAAAGCACACTTAAACCCCTCCATTTTGGCTTTAAAACCTCAGCATGATTCCAACTTGAGCGCAAGCTGAAGGAGAATCACCATGCTGGCAAATACAACACGCATATACATTCAGGCACACTACAAGAAACATATTCTACATGTGAGAGCTACAGCCCTGTAAAGAGCAGCCTATACCCTCTGCAGGCTATGAGTTATTTTGACTGTGATATTCCCTCCCCGGGACAAATCCTCTGCAAAATAGAAATGAAAAATGTGGCATCTTCCATTGTAAAGGCGACTATTTATTTTGATTTGATTAAGGGTGCTTTAGTTGGGCCGTACTGCATAATCCTCTGAGAATATGTCTGGAAAAGGGGATCAAGTCCTTTTAAAACCTGAAGGCTTTTCGGCACACTCAAACGAGAGAACGTTAAATGACAATATTCCACACGAGGGGGGAGGAAGAATAGCTCTGGAAATGGAAATGGCTTCCCAATGTCCTCGAGTTGCTTCAGTGAAGGCACTTTCCACATGACATAAGCTTGTGAGCCCAAAAGAGACAGAAGCAGCAGAAGGTGGAAAAGGAAACAAAGAAGAATAAACAAAAAAAGAAACAAAAAAATAATAAAAAGAAGAGAAGAGAGAAAAACCTTGAGATAGGATTTAGAAATAAAATTATTTTCCATAAAAGTCAGCAAATCTGCTTGAATTTGTCCAAACACTGAGATGAAATCTACAACTGGAGATGGGGGGGGGGGGGGGGGGGGAAAGAAGAAGTTTATTTTGGGGGGGGGGGGGGGGGGGGGGGGGGGAGGGGGCGGGCAGAGCGCGGAT